TAGGGCCTAACTGCCCCGTCAAGGTCACCGATTGTGACAGGAGCCATGGTCCACAGCATTGAGCATGGAATTATTATTACTACTAAGCATGAGCCTCACCATGATGCTCTTGGGGTAGAACACAAGAGCCCAGAGAGAATATGCTTATTTTATGCAACCTCTAATGTTTCCTCCCAGAGTTGTGATGAAACTGAACCAAACTCTAGCATGAGAATTGGTATCCCAGGTCAGCAGCCAAAACAAGTGGTGACACTTGGCCAGGCATGGTGGCTCACACCTGTAATCCCAGCACTTTGGGAGGCCGAGGTGGGTGGATCACAAGGTCAAGAGTTGGAGACAAGCCTGGCCAACATAGTGAAACCCCGTCTCTACTAAAATACAGAAAATTAGCTGGGCGTGGTGGTGGGCACCTGTAATCCCAGCTACTTGGGAGGCTGAGGCAGGAGAATCGCTTGAACTCGGAGGCAGAGGTTGCAGTGAGCCGAGATCACACCACTGCACTCCAGTCCAGCGACAGTGCGAGACTCTGTCTCAAAAAAAAAAAAAAAAAAAAAAGTGCTGATAAACTATAAAAAATGAAGTTGTAGAGGACTGTTAACCTCAATGGTCTGGAGCACATGAAGTCTGTAAGAGGGACTGTTAACCCTCAAAATGGTCTGGGGATGCTACATCCCATTGTGGACTTGTCACACTGCTGTGAGTGTAGGGAGTGGGAACCCTTCTTCTCAGCTCCTTCCTCACCATGTGTCATTTAGGGACAAAGGGAGCAGGATATCTTCCCTTTGAAAAATCTCATATGCCTAGCAATACTCATCACCCTGTGAATAATGTTGATGCATTCACTTAACCAATATTATAAGCCCCTGCTGTGTGTCAGACACTATGCTCGGTGCTGAAATAGACAAGGAGGGGTGTCTTTGAAGGCAAATCCCAGTCTCCTAAGAGACACTAGAACCACAGGCAACTACGCTGATCTATGCAATGACATGTAATGCAACTTTGTCCTGCAACCACCTTGAGATCTTTGAAAGTTCTCCTATCTCCAAAACTCAGACAAATTCCTCTCTCTTGCCAAGTGCCTAAAGCAAGGATGTGTTTATAGAGGTAGCTGGGGGCATCTGGCCAATTTATTTCCTGGCAGACCTGCTGTTTCCCCCAATTCCAATACTTTCTTCCCCAACCCAAACCAAGGCATCTAGCAATGTTAAAAACATCTAGAGTGATAAAACAAGCATTTTAATGAAGATTATTGATTTATTCATTGGCTGTTTCTTTAAATAGATAGAGAACTAATAAAGGATCTACCCCAAATAACCAAAAATATCAGCCTCAGCACCAGCAGAAATTGGAAGCGTTCTGGTATTTATATGTGTTTTGCTCAGCTGGCAGATTTGTTGTAGGAAACTATTTGCAAAGCCTGGGAAAAATGTGCTCCCTCTGTCTGTTAAAGGAACATGCAGGTTGGTTGGTGCTGGTTCTCCATCTGACAATTCTGTCTGGTGGCCTTAAAAAAAAAAAAAAATACAGCATAGTCCAGATTTGGACTATGCAAATGGTATCTTTAAACTTAACTTTTAGATCTTGAGCAAAGCCAAATATTATTGAAATGTTTATTTTGATTTTAACTGCAGGAGGTTTTCATTCAAAATGTGTTGCTTTAGGGGAAAAGGAAGGATGTTTATACTAGGTACTTTTTAGCATTCTTCTTTAGGAGACATTAATTAATTTAGTTCATATAATCAAAACTGGAATCAAGGAAAAATTATTTATACTTTTAGAAATTCTCATGTTCTTATACTTCTTTGGAGATTGAATTGACTCCAAAGAGACTATTTTGTGATTAAGAATATTTTTGTGGCCGGGCACGGTGGCTCACGCCTGTAATCCCAGTACTTTGGGAGGCCAAGGCAGGTGGATCACCTGAGACCAGCAGTTCGAGACCAGCCTGGCCAACATGGCAAAACCCTGTCTTTACTAAAACTACTAAAATTAGCCAGCTGTGGCAGCGGGTGCCTGTAATCCCAGCTACTCAGGAGGCTGAGGCAGGAGACTCACTTGAACCTGGGAAGCAGAGGTGGCACTGGGCCAAGATCACGGCATTCCACTCCAGCCTGGGTGACAGAGCAAGTCTCCGTCTAAAAAAAAAAAAGAATATTTTTGTATAGGGAGTCATTATAGTATGTCCTTAGACCAGGAGGTCCTGTTGAGGCAGAAATTTTTGAAGTAAAACCATTTTTTTTGAAGGAAACACATATTTAAATATCAAAGAACACTGGACATATACTTTTTAAAATTTATATACTTGTATTAGTTATCTATTTCTAAACAAAACCTTTGCAGCTCAAAACCACAGTCATTATCTCACAGGTTTATGTAGGTTATGCAGGTGCAGCTGACCTGCTTGGTCTGAGCCTTGGAAAGGCTGCAGTGAGGATGTCAGCCTAGGCTGCCGTCACCGCAAGGGTGTCCTGGGGGTGGATCCACTCCCAAGCTCACTCCTGTGGCTGTTGGCAGGATGCAGTTGCTCATGGGTTGTTAGGCTGAGGGCCTCAGTTCCTCACTAGGCCAGAGGCTTCCTTTAGTTCCCTCACATGTTTTCTCATGGGGGCAGCTCACAGCGTAGCAATTGGCTTCATCAGAACAAGCAAGCAGGAGGGTAAGAGACAGAAAGCAAGATAGAGGCCAGGGCCTTTCACAGCCTGACCTCAAGAGCAGTACCTCATCACTTTTGCCCTTTTTTGACAAACGTCCTATTGACTTTTGTCACTACATCAGAAGCAAGTCACTAGGTCTAGCCCACACTCAAAGGGAGAGGATTTCACAGAGCAAGAATATCAGGAAGCAGAATCATTGGTTATTTAATCAGAAGCTGCTGGCACAGTTCTTAATGAAACTATAAAACATTGAATTGAGAGGAATATGGGGGTAGGAGGATGACAAGGGAAGGCAGGTTAATTCTGTGGATGCTGAGGAGAATGTGCCTCGTGAAAAGTGTTCCCATCAGACTGGTGTATTTCTTTTTCTTTTTCTTTTTTTTTTGAGATGGAGTCTTGCACTCGGTTCACTGCAGCCTCCACCTTCCGGGTTCAAGCAATTCCCCTGCCTCAGCTTCCTGAATAGCTGGGATTACAGGCGCATGCCACCATGCCTGGCTTATTTTTTGTATTTTAGTAGAGATGGGGTTTCACCTTGTTGGCCAGGATGGTCTCAATCTCCTGACCCTGTGATCTACCTGCCTTGGCCTCCCAAAGTGCTGGGATTACAGGCATGAGCCACCACGCCCAGCCCAGAATGGTGTATTTCTAGGACATCTACAATGCATCACTCTCTAATAAAAGAAAAAAAACAGCCACTTCTTGACAGATACCCAAAGGTATGGAGTCCCTTACTAAACCACACTCCAAAGAAATAAGCCTGCAAAATAGGGGAAAGTTGTTTTTCACCTAGAAAGCAGATTCCCTGCATTTTCTTATTTTCTAATAGTGGGGAGAAACCCTAAGCTGTACATATGAAGAAGTGGACTCATTTCTCCTCTTGCACAGCACCCCCAGCACCTTGTACACCCCATTCCTCCCTAACTCCCAACCACACACTCACCTCCCAAGCGTCTGCAGATCTACATACATATTATCAAGTCTGTACAGAGTACTGAGTGAAATGGTCACTGTAGCTATGGAAAGGTGAGATTTGCAGGCAGTCTGAAATGTCTCTTGCTAAAGTAGTTCCGATCCTTTCCCCATTTAGAATGAAATACATTCTTCGTAAATGATTGTGGGGCAGAAAAAGAAAACCACACTGGAAATAGGATTCTAATAAACCAACATGGGGCTCGAGCTGGTGAACACATTTCTGAACCATCCCTATACAGAAACCACAAGACAAATAAGAAAAAGAATATCCAGATCACTTAGACCCTTCAAACCACATCCTGGGTTCCAAGGAGAGTGGCTGCGAGTTAGGAAAGATACGTTTATCCAGTGGACCTTTTGACTCTTTTGTCAATCTTAAGTTTAAGAAAAAATTGTAGAGTAAAAAATTTTGGTTTGGGTCCCTTCCCACCTTCCCTTGCTTTGTCACGTTCCTTAAGCCTCTAAGCATCCAGATCTTCCCCACAGCAGTGCTTCCCGGTCAGTGATTACCCTCTCCTCTTTTTATCTCTTTTCTTCACGCGCACCTTCAGTCCATAAATCCAAGCTTTTTGTAAGGAGGGAGGGTGAGTAAACTAATTCATACTAAGGTGAGAGTGAATTATATATAAACCTCTTAATATATTAAATCTACTAAGCAGTGTTTCAGAAGGAAATTTGCTAACGTGGACATCTTACTTGAAAAAATTTCAGTTGGTTCAACAAAGTATGGTTTAGAAATCATTTTCTATCAGGAGAGATTTTTTTTTTTTTTCTTAAAGCAGCTAGGTTTCCCCAGCAGATTTTGAACACTTGAATATTTGTGATTCTTTCCTATGGGAATCTGATCTGGATGAGACTGAAGACCTTAAGCCCTCTAGCTTTCCCTTTGGGTCTTTTGCTATTGAAAACTAGTTGGACTTAAACAAGTTAAGTGTGTTTTAAGGATGGCTCCTTTCACCCATTTCTAAAAGCTAGCATTTTTGAGGTTCTGCTTTATTTAGCAGAAGGAATGCTGGTTTTCCAATCTCTCACTCAAAAAGAACTTTTACTTATCTCATAAAAAAGAGTGGGATGGAGATTAATGTAATAGAAAAGTTATACTAGAAATATCATGGCAGCTGTATTTAATCAATTCATGTTCAAAGATAAATTAGTAGTAGTAATAAGAGTTGTGCTGTATAAAATCACCATATCTCATGTTCAAATTGCAGATTATCAGTTGAAAAAGCATGGATTGTTTTCCCCCTGAAAGAAATCTTTTAAAGTGGTACCATAAGAGACATTAAGGCTGGCTATTGTTTTATTTCTCTCTCTCTTTCTGTCATTTGATTTCTGACTTTGAGTGGATTTTTTTAACATTACAAAATCATAGAGAAAGAATATTGGATCATTTATTGTAGAGTTTTTAAACAATTTGATACCATTGTGTTTCTGGCGTCATAACTGCATTTGCTGTTTGTGAGGGGTGTAAAGGTCCCTGATGTTCAGTGTACAGTACCAGCATTTGTACAAAACATTGCAGCCTGGCCTGTGGAGGACAGGGGTTACTAAGGGGCAAGCTGCTGCTTGCGATAATACCCCCAGTGCCTCCTTCTAATCTTGCACCATTTCCTAGGGCAGACAGCCTTGTGGGGCTCTGACTGGTGCCCTGGAACATGTTTCACCTTCCATTTTTCTTGCTCTGATTTCTGAAGACAGAATGTTCTCTTCACCCTACACATCAGGAGTTTTCCTTCTGTTTTCATTTTTCACTGGTTCCTTTGTGAATTTGCACTTTGATCTAACCTAAAACATTGGAAACAGGAATAAACACAAATAATGGCATGAGGCCGTGGCCACAGAATGACAAGACAGGACACAGCAAATAAATAGAAAGAGAAGGCTCATAAATTTCTATTTATTTATTTACTTACTTATTTCTTGAGACAGGGTCTCATTCTGTCACCCAGGCTGGAGTGCAGTGGCATGATCATAGCTCACTGCAGCCTTGAACTCCTGGGCTCAAGTGATCCTCCAGCCTCAGCCTTCTGAGTAGCTGGGATTACAGTCACACACCACCATGCCTGGCTAAGTAAAAAAAAAAAATTCTTTTGTACAGATGGGGTCTCACTATGTTCCCCAGGCTAGCCTCGAACTCCTGGGCTCAAACAGTCCTCCTGCCTTGACCTCCCAAAGTACTGGGATTATAGGCCTGCGCCACTGTGCTCAACTCCTTCCCATTCTAAAAAGTGTCTAAGGCAGTTATGGAGATTATATAATAAGGTATAAAATTTCTGAGTGAAAGGAAAATGAGAGAGAAATAAATGTAAATGTGTATGCGGTTAATATGTACACAGAATGTTTCGTAAGTCCTTTGACGGTTCCTTTAAAAATCACCTGCAGGCCAGGCACAGTGGCTCATGCCTGTAATCCCAGCAGTTTGGTAGGCTGAGGTAGGCAGATCACTTGAGGTCAGGAGTTCAAGACCAACCTGGCCAACATGGTGAAACCCTGTCTCTACTAAAAATACAAAAATTAGCCAGATGTGGTAGCATGCACCTGTAGTCCCAGCTACTTAGGAGGCTGAAGCAGGAGAATGGCGTGAACCCAGGAAGTGGAGGTTGCAGTGAGCTGAGATCGCGCCATTGCACTCCAGCCTGGGTGACAGAGGGAGACTCCATCTCAAAGAGAAACAACAACAACAACAGCAACAAAAACACCTGCAAATTTGAGCTGCCTAGCAGCCAAGCAAAAAAGGGAATCACAACAATAAGATTCATATGTCTGCCAATTTAAAAACAAATCAGTTCTCTTGGATCAGTGCTTCTCAAACTGGAATGTACATTTGAGACACCTGGTGCATGTTAAAATGTAGGTTCTGATCTAGCAGGTCCATGGTGCATTTCTTTTTTTTTTTCTTTTTTTTTTGAGACGGAGTCTCGCTCTGTCGCCCAGGCTGGAGTGCAGTGGCTGAATCTCAGCTCACTGCAAGCTCCGCCTCCCAGATTTACGCCATTCTCCTGCCTAAGCCTCCTGAGTAGCTGGGACTACAGGCGCCCGCCACCTCACCCGGCTAGTTTTTTGTATTTTTTTTTTAGTAGAGACGGGGTTTCACCGTGTTAGCCAGGATGCTCTCGATCTCCTGACCTCGTGATCCGCCCGTCTCAGCCTCCCAAAGTGCTGGATTACAGGCTTGAGCCACCACGCCCGGCCTCCATGGTGCATTTCTAACTGGCTTCCAGGCAATGCTATGCTGATGCTGATGCTGACGTTGATGCTGCTACTCCCTGGACTGCCCTTTGAGTAGTAAAAGTTTAGCTCACTCAAAAAAACCTCATAGTTTATTTGGAGTAACATCCCTTTAGCTCTTTAGCCCTTGTAAATATTATAAGACTACATTACAATAAAGTTCTGGTGAGTCTAATTGTTGACCAGAGAGATTGTTTACTTCAGAGCACCTGGATTTGAATCATGCTATGCCACCTGCTGCTGTCTTACCTGGTACAAGTTAATGCATTCTCCTCGCATCTCAGTTTAATCGTTTTCTGAATGAGACTAATAGTAGTATCTGTCATAGATGCTTGTAACAGTGCCTTCATAGAGTAAGAATGAAATAATGTTAGCTATTTTTTATTGTTACATTTAAAATAGATTTTGCTGGCAGTGAAATATGAATGATAAATTAAAATCATCTCCTCAACTCTTTTCCTTTCATAAGTATCTTAAAATAATGTATCTAGATTTGCAATTTCATTCTGAATCCTTGAATAAAAGACACCAGATAATCAGAAGATATTACTGACATTAGTAGGCATTTGAAGTTCACTCTGATGGAATCAGTCTGTTTACAACAAATTGCTATAGAGAGTAAAAAGCACCAACCTTTTCCGGTAGTTTTTGAATGCCAGCATCTTTGTTCATGCAGTTGGCTTTGCTGCATTTCCACTTCAGTAAATAGGTCATCAATTTTTTGGCTCTGTCTTTGCAAAAAAAAAAATAAAAATAAATAAAATAAAATAAAATAAAAACTACAGAGGGTGAATTTTAAAACACAAATAAAGAAAAAGAAATTACTTTGAAATTTCCAAAATTGTTTGGCTGAAAGAGCTTATTTAGAAAAACAGAGCTTTTTATGTATAAATCTGTTTCAGTGGTGGTATATCAGAATTGCATGTTGCTAGTAGTTTGCTATCAAACCAATGCTTGTGTTTCAAGCTATTAAAGAATGAATACAATAGGCCAGGTACGGTGGCTAATGCCTGTAATCTCAACATTTTGGGAGGCCAAGGTGGGCGGATCACTTGAGGTCAGGAGTTCAAGACCAGCCTGGTCAACATGGTGAAACCCTGTCTCTACTAAAAATATAAAAATTAGCCAGGCCTGGTGGTGTGCTCCTGTAGTCCCAGCTACTTGGGAGGCTGAGGCAGGAGAATTGCTTGAAGCTGGGAGGTGGAGGTTGCAGTTAGCCGAGATCACGCCACTGCACTCCAGCCTGGGCAACAGAGCAAGACTCCATCTCAAAAAAAAAAAAAAAAAAAAAAAAAGAATAAAATAGAAACACCAATTTTTTTGGTATTTTATACCTTCCCCCAAATATCCATACCCAAGGCATTTTTAAGATTTCCCTAAGCTGGAAGCAGCAGACCACATGTTATTTAAAACATATTAAGATGTACCTACTGCCTCCTGTATTATGTATATTTTCTATATAATTTTATAACAATCTGCAAAGTAGCAGGAAAAAACTTTCGCCTTCAGATTAAACTCAGAAGAGTTGCCATTGGCTAACTGAAAACCTTTGTATTTGATAAGCATTTAATTAAAAATTTATTAATTTTGGTTTTGAGGTTTTACTTTTCATATTTTTAGAACCAATAACTTTTTGTGGAATCCTAAGTTGTTCATCGATCCTAGGTGCAGTGTTTGTCATCCTGAGAGCTTCAATGGCCCTGCCAAAACCTCAACCTCAGCTCAGAGTAGGAAATTGTCAAACACTCAGTAACTGGTAAGCAAATGGATTTCAGTCACTAAATGGAACTGGAGGAATGGAGACTTGGGCTTGTAATCTTAGCGCTTTGGGAGGCCCAGGCATAAGGACCACTTGAGCCCACGAGTTCGAGACCAGCCTGGGTAACATGGGAAGATTTCACCTCTACAAAAAGCAAAAAAAAAATTAGTCAGGCATTGTGGTGGCTTGCACCTGTAGTCCCAGAAACTTAGGAGGCTGAGGTGGAGGATTGCTTGAGCCCAGAAAGTTGAGGCTGCGGTGAGCTGTGATCACGCCACTGCACTCCAGCCCAAGCGAAAGAGCATAGACTCTATCTCCAAAAAAAAAAAAAAAGAGGCTGTGAGAGAGGAAGGCAGGGGAATGTTAATCAGAGAGATATATAGAGTCTGGGAGAGACTGAAAGAGAGGCAGAGAGAAATACACAAATTAAAGACACAGACTGAGAGAAATGGAAAAATGAAGAGAGGATCTCGGAGAGATTGATTGACTTCCCAGGTAACATACAATATCTCACAATCCTGCAGAGTGTTTAAAGTTGCATTTTAAAAGGCACTCAGTTAGTTCACACAATCCTGGTAAGAAGATCATCTTAATTAGTATCATATTTTGTAGTTTTCAAAGCAGTTCTTAGGCATCATTGCATTTCAGACTTGGCTCTAGCCCTTTTATTACAGGTGATGAAATTGACTTGTTCACCTTACATTTGTAGAGCATTTTGCAATTTTTTGAAGGACATTTCCACCCATTATCTAATCACAAGTCTCCATAAATCCCATCTCCCCTGGTATAAAAGAAACTTAAATTACAGGTGCTACTGAGATTCACAATGCAGCCCACAAAATCAGCAAATATTTTTTCTTTGTTTCCTCCTTTTTTAAAAAAGGCGTATATTTGACATTACTACTTTGTTTCGGCCTGCATATTGAAATAACAAAAATAAAACCAAAATTGGCACCAATTTTATTTCAAAATAAAATCTACTTTTTTCACTTTCCCACATCATCTTCTAGCTGCTAGCCTTCATGCATATTCAATTTTTGCATATTTACAGCCCTGTCAAAGATAAAATTTTATTTTCTGCATTTCCACTCAACATTATACACTGAGTATTGGCTCATCTCAGTCCCACTTTCAAAGAGATACCCAGGAAATAGAAGCAACAAGGGTTATTCGACCTTAAACAACTACCGATGATACTCTGGCTCTCTTTGGGATTTTTAAGGCCCTGTAAGTAAAATATTATCAGATTACAGAAGGCTTGGGATTCTGGCTTTATCACATGACTGATTGGTCCTCCATGTTCTCCTTGGCAGATGTGGGAATCAGTGACACAATGTTTTTTACTCAAAACATGGTTTAGCTTACCATCACCAGGAATGGCCAATGCATACGCGTTCGCACTGTGAAGGTTTATTTGCACCTCTACTCTTCTTAACCAGGCTTTTTCACAGAAGAAATAACCCCAACTTCATGAACCCTATTCCCATGACCTATTTGCCAATCTGTTAAAATAATGGCCAACTCAAATGATCAGTAATGATTGACTCACCATGACATCATCCATCACCTTTGTCACTGGAAGCCCATTTGCCTTGAAGAGTGCTGCATCTTCCGACTTTGCTCCAGCAACTTCAGCTCCTCATTAAATCCCTCCCTGTAGGTCATCCCTGCAACCAGTTGACACTGGAGCTCAGCAGCCTGCTGAGGGGGGCCTTCACCCCTCTTGTTGAGCTGCTCCTCTCTCCTCTCAAAGCCCTCTTTCCTTCTCTCCTGCTGGCTGACCTAGAAGCTCAGCTAAAGAGGTGTTCAAGGTGTCCAGTTGCTTAAACAGGTGGCCCGTGTGCTTTTTGCTGTAACTCACTTGCTCCTTGAGCTCAGCTCCAAGCTGTAGAAGACCATGGGAGAGCACATTGATGTCATCTGGGGAATAAGTAACAGGGTCAGGTTTCTCTGTTTGTTTCCTTGCACCAGATAAAGAGTAGGATAAACTTGGGAGAAGCCAAAGTGATGTTTTTGCATTGTGGCTTTGAATGATTTCCAGGTCCCTTGGTTAACCTATTCTCAGCAAAGGAAATAGAAGATGGTCCCAAGATGGTAAGAGCAGAGTGTTTGGCTGAAAATTTGATCTAAAAATGACCAGATTCCACAGATTAACCCCAGAGCTGCTCAATTACAGCAGTTTAAAAATAAGTTGAGGGCTCGTTGCTAAATCAGTGGAAAGAATTTGGAGTTTCCAAAATAGTTTGTAATCAAGAAAAGCCATCTGACAGGGCCTTGGAGGGGAAATTGCTGATGAATATCAAATGCCCAGTTCTCTATGTGGTGATATATGTGACTGAAGAAAACCGCTTTTGTCCACATTTGGAGAAAGATAAGATTATACTAAATGCCTGGCACAGACACTGGACCTTCAGTTACTTAGAAAACTTTCAAAATAACTTTGCCATAACAAGTGGCAAATTATTAAGGTCATGGGCTGTCCTCTCAGAAATACTTAGATAACATGATTCTCTGGCTAGTATGAGACGCTTAATTGATCACATATGAAGCATATGAGCCTGTTTATCAGTTCGTTAATAATTATTCTTATCTGGCTTGGACTCCGGGTTACTGGCCACGCAGGCAGATCTTCCCTCCCAAAAGAAAACATTATTATTCTTTTGTATTCATTTCTTTAAAAGCATGCAGATTTAACAAAACATATTACTTAGCACTCTTACTGATTTAGAAATACGATGACCCTTAGGAAATGCATCTCCTTAAAAGAAATTCCAGGCAAACTCATTTACCCTTCCTGGGAGTTAGTTTCCTGGCCTTCAGAAAATGGGATGTTGGACCAAATTATCTTGAGTTTCCTTCCAGCTGTGTGCTCGGTGGGGAGTGCTGGCAACTCAGTGGCGCGGGACACTGAATATCTGTGGTGGTGATGTTCGGATACAGGGGTGAGCAACCCCTTCGGAAGCAATGGGCAAAATTGCTGAGCAGTGGTGGGGGTGCACGGGAATGGGTGGCGGTGCCCTGGTATTGGAATGTAAGAGACGAGTGTGGTGAGAGCAGTCTGGCAGGGCTACTACTGTTATGATTTACACAGTCCCTTTCATCCAGCTACTTCAAAGCACCTTCACAAACTTTGGCTCATTATGCCTTCAAACACAGCATTCAAGAAAGGTTGACTGGCGTCTTTTAATTAATTCAAAGATGATGAAGCTAAGCATTACAGAATATAAAGGGATTCTTCCAAAAGTATGCTGCACTGCAGAGGGGCAAGATATATAAAGTGTTCACCACAGCTTTCTAACTGAAACAAGGAAATAACCTAAACACTTATTTTTAGAGGAGACCAGTGTAAATTATGGCATATTCACAACATGCAATGATATGCACCCATTAAAATCATGTTTATTGAAAACAGTCACATTGGTGAAATGGTCATAACTGAACAATATTTGGTGGCATAAGAAAAGATAAAGCTTTGTACATACAGTATGACAAAAATGTTTAATGTGGCCGGGCATAGTGACTTACGCCTATAATTCCAGTACTGTGGGAGGCCAAGGCAGGAGTATCACTGAAGGCCAGGAGTTCAAGACCAGCCTGGGCACCATAGTGAGACCCTGTCTCTACAAAAAAATTTAAAAATTACCCAGGTGTCCTGATGCATGCCTACTATTGTAGCTACTTGGGCGGCTGAGGCTGGAGGATCACTGGAGCCCAGGAGGTCAAGGCTGCAGTAAGCCATGATCACACCACTGCACTCCAGCCTGGACAACAGAGTGAGATCCTGTCCTGTCTCAAAAATTGGAAAAAAAAAAAAAAAGTTTCATGTGTAGAGGGGAAAAGGCTAAATGGAAATGTGTTAAAGTCTTAACAGTGATCCTCCTCAGTGCAGTGGTATAGTGGGTGGTTGCTATGCTTTTCTTTATACTTTTATGTACTTCTAAGTTATGCAAGGTTAAAAAAAAATGGGCACACATGACTTTCATAATCATCTCTGAATATGATAATCATATGATTATGAAAGAGGGAGTGTGTATGTGAAAGTGGAATGGACCAATTAAATAGAATGGTAGGGAAGACCTCAGAAGATATGACACATGAGCTAACTCCAAAGATGAGAAGAACCAGTCATTTAGTGAATGGAGAAGCACTCTGGGGAACAGAGGCATGAAGGAAGGAAGAAGTTTGGAATGTTCTAGGTTTTGAAAAAAGGCCAGCATGGGAGAATGGTGAGAGATAAGGTCAGAGCCATTGCCAAGGGCAAGGTCATGTAGGACCCGTGATAAAAAGTTTGGGAAACCCTTGTAGGGGCCTGACATAATTTATTTTACATTTTTGAAAGATCCTTCTGACCAATATATGAAGAACATTGTAAGAGGCAAGTGTAGAAGTCAAGATCTATTGAGAAGGCGTTGCAGGGGTCCAGGTGAGAATGAGGGTGGTTCGGAGTGGAGAGACAGGGACAAGGTAGGTTGGAGTGTGGGTCTGACTTGCTAGCCGTGTGGAGGAAATAATTATCATAATAACTATCATTTATGTTTTTAGAGGGCCATGTAACTGCAGTATGTTTTCAATGTTCACATTTATAGGTTTACAGACTTTGTACTTGATAAGGTACAGAAGTAAATCATTTGTCGTAAATCATGCGTTTAGAAGCATATGCCACACTTCTATTATAGTAATGATAATAATAGAAGTCTACTGCTAGTCATAAAACTTATCTGTTCAGAGAAGGCTTTTTTTTTTTTTTCAAAGAAGTCTTCTAGGTTTCAGTTGTTGCTCATTAATGCTCACCACAGCCCTTTGAGGTAGGCACAATTATGCTTTGGATAAGCTTTGGAAAAGCTAAATAACTTGCCAAAGGCCATGCAGCTAAAAGAAGCAAAAGCAGAATTTGAATCTCAGCTCTCTGCCTCCAGAGAGAACACCCTTTACCCCTCTCTGATACGACCGCTCCACAGACATTAGCTCTGCTTTTTTGATTGGTGGCAGTGGAGATGAACAGAAGTGAACAGTAAGCAGAGAGGGGTCTGCACCCCACACACATCCCTGCACCCCAACTGTAAACTGCCATCATCATTTACTGTATCCACGTCCACTCCTGACAGCATCAGCGGCTCAGTCGTATCCACCTGCATCAGGGTTTTAGGCTGCCTCAGTTTAGACAGAGTAAGATTTGGGAAGTGCTGCTAAGGCAGCCAATGGTTGAGTAGAAACAGCGCTGTACTGGATCTCTACCTGCTCAGTGGCTCATTCATCATGTGTCTCATCTTTAAAAGTTAGGGCTCAGTCTAGGTGCCTCCTGGCCTGAGCACCCCAGAATTCTATGCTAATCCCTTTAGTGTGACATGGCCTGTCGTCTACTTTTCTGGGAAGACCATCTACACCTCACTGGTATTTGAAGCTCATTGAGTATTGTCATATATCAACCCAGAAAGTCACAGGGTACAGCAGCTCAGACTCGCTCCCAGCACCAGGCCACCCCTATTCTGCCTCTGGGGAGTCACCCAAAATAGAGAGATGGGGGTAAAATAAGACCTAGGAATGCTATTTATTTGCCTCCACGGTCTTTGAACTTGCACATCCAATGTAACAGCTCCTGTGTGTTCTTGATTGTTCCAATTATCATTTTTCCTCTCGAATACCTGAGAGCATTCACTATTTTGCAAGAAATTTGAGTAGAGAATCCCTGTGCCCTAACTTTTCTTTCCTTGATGTGGGATGTTCTTCTGTAACTAAGTAAGTTTATCTCAACGTTTCCCCCAGGTAATTTCTCAGAATGTTAAATTCATAAAATGTACCATGAAAGGATAAATAAATGGAAGGAGTTCTGAGGTCAAAACATTTGGGGAAAGAAGAGTCTTTCTCCTTCTAAGGCATTCTCAGTGCATAGTAACCTGTTTATCTCGCTTCGCCCTGGTCTTTCCCAACCACTTTTGCTTAACCCCCCACCTTCCCCACACACTTGTTAACACTTTGCAGAACACTAAGGCTCTGTGAGATGGGCTGGGAAATGCAGGTTGACATGCCACTGTTAACACCTAGACAATTAAGGCAAACTTGTCCCTGAGAGATGTCAGGATAGCACAGTGTGAAAAGGCCATGCTTGTCAGGGCTCTTATCTGAGAGAATACAGTGGTTACGAGCATGACTCTGGAACTAGACAGTGTGGGTTCAATTCCCAGCTCTGCCATTTAGTTATATAATAGGGGGTGTCTTACCTAACATCTCTGTATCTCGTTTGTTCCTCACTTGTGACATGGGGATGATGACAATGATAATAGTACCTACCTATAGGATAGCTATGAGAATTAAACAAATTAATAAATATGAAGTATTTGGAACATTGGCCTGACTCAGGATAAGGCCTGTTTAAATGTTAGTATCATTATTGTTTCTTCAAGCCAGGAATATACTTCATCAGTTATGTATACACTCATTCCTTCATTCAACAAATAGTTACTTAGTACTACTATGTCCCAGGCACTATTCTAGCTGTTGGAGATACATCAGTGAATCAGAAACATCAGAGAAAAACCCCTGGCCTTGTGGAACTTACATTTTAGTGGAACCTACTACTAATAATGCAAATAGAAAGAAAAATATATGCAAGTTACCCAGGCACTGGGTAGCCTAGTGCCTGTCCTATAGTTGTCAAATGGATGGATATATTATTCATATTGTTGTTGTTATACAGTAATTGGAGGTTTGAGCTGTCATCTTAAATAAGAACAGAAAGCTAAGCCAATACGAGTGCCATGCCAGTAAGGAAAGGAAACTGCTACATAAAGATTAGGAAGGAAAAAAGAGAAGAATAACATTAGGCCATCATCGATGGCCATGAGTTTTATTTAAAATGAGCTGGACCTTTTTTGCTTTCTTTATGTGTGTATCAGAGATACAATTACCTCTAGGCAGATTTCCACATTCCAAGACATTAAGACTTTCTAAGCTGCAGCAGACACGTCTTTACTTGTAGCGAAACAGAGAGCGATGGAGGTTATTTTCAGATGACTGT